TTTAACCCAAATATCCAGATGTGTGCAGCACATTTTAAGGAGGACTGTTTACTGATCCTGGGAGAGTAATGTTAGACCAAAATGCCGGCCGACTCACGTAAGTACGTTTTCATTTAAAGGATTTGCCACTGATGATTCAAACGCGAGTTTTCGGCAGTAGAGTAGCACTTGTTGTTTGTAATTTCTCTGATCATAAATGCAGACAGAGTTTTATGCTTACGCGGAGCGATGCAATGCGATGCAATGCAATGCGACGCAACGCGTAAAAAGACAGTATAAGTCATTATAATCAGTAATTATGTCCCCACTGGATGCAACAAATGCCTCATTTGCAATGGGTTTTATTGTTTTTGTCTCATCGCTCCAGGACACGTCATCACAATATGGTAAGGGGCGTAACATTTCCGTCTCACGCTTGAGGTATTCGGCCAATCACAACGCACTGGATAGCTGGCCAATCAGAGCACACCTCGCTTTTTCAGACCAATGAACTTTGTAAAAATCAATGCGTTTCAAAAAGGCGGGGCATAGAGGAGAAACAATAATGTACAGTATGTGGAAAATAATGTGTTTTTTTAACTTTAAACCGCATAAACATTTCATTACACCAAATAATGTTCTTTTTAGCAGCATCATATGACCCCTTTAACAAATTATTAATATATTGCATTTTATACACTACAACCAAATGTTTGGAATACATTTTTTTTTTAAGTTGCTTATGCTCACAAAGACTGCATTTATTGTATTTGCTGACAAAAATTGTGAAATATTACTATTTAAAATAACTGTTTTCTATTTTAATATTAATATACATTGTATTATATAGTATAATAAATTAGAGCCCGACCAACATATAGTTTTGCCGATATTATCGGCCGATATGAGCCTGTCGCAGATATATCGGTATCGGTGAATATGCCGCTGATATGCAGCCGATATGATTTTTTTTTACAGAACATATAAGGCAGATTAAATGCTTCTGAATGGTGTAATTACTTAGTTTGTCCAGCAGAGCGCGCTCCATTGTTTGCTACTGGCGACCAGGTCAGTGTAGTGTTGAGCTGCGCGGATGAGCTCAAACTTCACCCGAGTCTGCTGCTTCAAATTATTCTCCCGCCACCCACCCGCACCTATATTTGATCGTCACATTACAATGATTCTAATTCTTAGTTTTACATGATGAATGGATGGTTCATTTTTAACAGCAGATTCAGTGACGTAAGAGACCAGAGCCGATCTGCGCATCACGGCACGCGTCAGCGGCGCATTAAAGCCTGTGTTACGGCCACCGGAGCTGATCGCGGCTGGGCTGGTGTTTACTGGCCGCACCGCGGCCCAGAACTCATGCTCATCACATCGGTCATATCACATCGCGCAGCACGCGTCAGGTGTAGAATAGAACCCATTATAATCAGTGATGTTGTCTACACTGGATGCAGTAAACTGATGCCTCGTTCTATTTATGATGTGCTGACACAAACTTCTAATGATTTTCAACGGTCGCGTCCTGTTGCGGCGCATGTCAGCATAGTTTGTCAGTACAGTCAGTAGTGTAGTAGATTGAAGAGTTAATATCTTTGTGCAGTCTAATAGACGGCAGTGCGGTGGTGGCTTGAGTGGCTTGAAAAAAGGGCACTTCTAATATTTTTTATTTATTTTTTTTTTCTAATCAAAATGTTAAATATATTAGGGGTGTGCGATATTGACAAAAAATATTTCTCAATATTTTCTGGGATTTTACTGATAACGATAATTATGGTTATTAATAATTATGATATTTTGCTGAGTGTGTTATTGTGCTGATATCTTAAGGACTACCGTGGACAGCTGACTCCTAAAATTTTTGATATTCTTCATATTCTGTGTGGTGATCAGTTCACAGCAGTGATAGAAATTAATCTTTTCCAATACATTTAAATAGATTTTTACCTTTTAAATGAAATCAGTATTGACAAAATCCATCTTTGCAATGCAGAGAAAACACAGAAGCTGCATTAGAAGGGGCATTTAGATGCATTTACACAGTTTTTAATGCAGGACATGAATGTATTTAACCTGCGGTTACAAATGCATTCATATACGGTTTTGATATTTTAAACATAAAACGTTGAATACTGATATTTGAAATGATAAAAAACAAACACATGAAAAGATACTTTAAATGTGAAATTAAAACCGCTAGTAGGTGGCAGCAAGTCACTGTTAATAAGTGAGCCATTGCGACTGAACCGAATCATTTAAACGGTTGATTCATTCAGGAACTAACCATTCAGGAACGAAACACCATCATATTGCTCAGAGATGCAAATTGGAATTATATTTGTTGGTGAAATAGAGCAAAAACAGTCAATATTGTGTCTAAAATGTAAGTATCTTAATATTAAATTCTTGTTTATTGAACTGCTGTATAAAATCAATATCACATTTGTAATCATGCTGCTTTTTGGTGGAAAAAACATCAGTCTTCGCGTGATACTGATTAACTATATGAAATTATATAAATATATACATTTCTGCCCCCATATCTTGAATTTGTGATCATTCTAAACGCATTTTAATAAACTGAATAATGCAGTGAACTGAATCATGTAGCTCTCATGAGTCATGAATGTTAGCAAGACAAATTAACTATAATTGCTTTTGTCTTTTGGGTAATTAGCTGTAAATTCGAGGCACAAATAGCTTTTAGTCTTTTGTTCATCACCACTCACCTCCACACCAAGACAAACACAACTGGAAAGGGAGAGAGGGCTGCGCGAAGGGGTGTCGGAACTCGACAGTTTCAAAATTTCCCGACCCGACATTTTGATTTTTTATTAGTTTGACAGGGAAAGCTGTGCGCAAACAGAAACACACACGCACACATATAGCTATACATATATTCATTTAGCAGAAAAAAAAGGGCACTTTGTCTCAAGGAAGAAAAAGGGCAGGTGCTCAAGCCCCCATTTATGTCTATGTGTGCACGTGCCTGCTGTTGAATGGTGATTTAACGCTACGTTGTCACCTAGTTGGAGAGACTCAATGCTAAGTAAATAAACAACAATGTCCCCATCTTTTACTCTCACAATGAGCTTATCATATTTGTTTGCTACATTAGTAGGGTCCTATGATTTCCGCGATGCAGAAAACATGGACGGAATCGTGGAATCCAGTCATAAAAACTGAATTTACTGTATAACGCGGACTTTCATGGAATTGGTCTTATTTTTGATGAATAAATAAAAAAACAGGTCAGTATACACACACACACACACATACATATACATATATATATATATATAGACTGTGTCTGTGAATATTATTGACAGGGAAAGCTGTGCGCAAACAGAAACACACACGCACACATATAGCTATACATATATTCATTTAGCAGAAAAAAAAGGGCACTTTGTCTCAAGGAAGAAAAAGGGCAGGTGCTCAAGCCCCCATTTATGTCTATGTGTGCACGTGCCTGCTGTTGAATGGTGATTTAACGCTACGTTGTCACCTAGTTGGAGAGACTCAATGCTAAGTAAATAAACAACAATGTCCCCATCTTTTACTCTCACAATGAGCTTATCATATTTGTTTGCTACATTAGTAGGGTCCTATGATTTCCGCGATGCAGAAAACATGGACGGAATCGTGGAATCCAGTCATAAAAACTGAATTTACTGTATAACGCGGACTTTCATGGAATTGGTCTTATTTTTGATGAATAAATAAAAAAACAGGTCAGTATACACACACACACACACATACATATACATATATATATATATATAGACTGTGTCTGTGAATATTAAACTGCAAAGAGACGATTTAAATACGAATTTTTCTGCATGTTCATTTGATTACCAGAAAATACACAACACAAAGTTTGTGAAAAAAAAAAAAAAAATGTATTCATTTTAGATGTTTACATTTGGAAAAGCTGTGCTTCCTGCATAAACCTGCCCCTGTTGGTTTGGCAGTAGCTTGCTTTCCCTAGACGGTTACCTTGTTCAATTTCTTAATTCAAGTTATATATTTTTTGTCCTATTTGTGTTAAGTTATTTATAATAAGTGAAGTAAAGTTTACTGTTAAGTGCACTGATGTCAGACTCATTTTGAATAATAACGTTTTTTGTTAAACTGTTAAATACCCTGCATCCACTACATAGGCCTATGTTTGTCACATCATTATAAGTGTTTGATCATCACATTTGAGTTATTGCAAAAAATTTGTTTATATATTCTGTTTATGTAGGCTATATACGGTATTCTATATACAGTAGCAGTCAAAAGTTTGGACACACGAATGGGAATTGTGTCCAAACTTTTGACTATACTGTATTATAATATAGCCTACACAAAGAATATCGAACGATATATCGGTATCGGTCTTTTTTTACTCCCTAATATCGGTATCGCCCCCCCCCAAAAACCCATATCGGCCAGGCTCTATAATAAATAGTCACTGTTTCCTCAAAAATATTAGGCAGCAACAACAGTTTTTATTGTTTCTTGAACAGTAAATCAGCACATTAGAATGATTTCTGAAGGATCATGTGACACTGAAGACTGGAGTAATGATGCTGAAAATTCAGCTTTGCATCACAGGAATAAATTACAATTTAAAATATTTTTTAAATAGAAAAATGAAACGGGAAACAAAAAAATGATAATAATAATAATAATGTGAATATATATAAAATAGAATATATATAATGTTTTTCTGTCTTTGTCCCAGTTTTGTTTTTCTTCTGCATTTTTGATGAAATAAATGCAGCCGTAGAGACCAAAAGAGACTTCTTTCAAAAACACAAATTCCTTAATTATTTATAATTTTTTGACTGGAAGCATATATAAATTAGAATAATTATTGTAGGTTTGTTACCACAATACTTGATTGAAAGGGGTGACAGTTTTTTACCACATAAAAGCGAGAAATAAACAAATAAAAACCCACAGTTCATGCTAAATAGCTTTGAACATTTGCACAACTCTTTAAAACAATAAAGCATTTGACTTACGTTGTGAACGACTGAAGCCACAGCATTGGTGAGTTCATCTGAAGTCACAGGGTCGCTCATGGTTGACGTCAGGACACTGCGGTGAAGCAGCACAGGAGACGCTCAACAACAATCGGATCTGCACAGGCTTTAGCCTTTCTCTTTCTCACTGAGACTCAAGCAGGAGTTTATAGGCAGCATAACCTGCAAACAGTTTGAAACGTTAAATAATTTGTTCATTGCCAATTACAACCTTTATATTATACCAGTCAAAAAAAGTTTGCAGTGTGATTAAACTATTTGCTGCTTCATTTATGGCGTAAATGGACTTAAACTACAACATAACAGCCCCCCTCGTATCCAAAGACTGATAAAAACCAGATAAAGTTGCTACTGTAGGGACACACAGATAAGAGACTCATGCTTGAAGATAACCATAAAATATTGGATGTGATGTAACAGTAGATAAAGATATGCTCAACTATAATTCATTTAACTGAACACCATACTAAGATCACAACAGCTCAAGAGTTGACTGAATAAGTACAACTTCATGTTGAATTCAAGATAAAATAACATTTTATAGTAAGGTTTCATGTCAACATTGGCTATCATGAATTTACAACAAACAATACTTCAAAAGCATTTTAATTTCAATATTAACTAATGCATTTTTAAAATCAAACGCATCTATTAACATTAGTTAATATACAATAGTATTTTATTAACCAACATTAACAAATGCTGTAAAAATGTACTGCTTCTAGTTAGTTCATGTTAGGTAATGCATTTACTAATGAGACCTTATTGTAAAGTGTTAACAAGACAAAATACTACCTTTAATACTTGCCAGTAACTGATTTTAAATAGAAAAACAACCTTTTTAACTGCTAACTGCTAATAACTAGTACTTTTTGTGGAAGTAACCTTTGGTTTGATGCAGTAGTCTGTGCAAAAACACAATTGTTTGATTGTTGAGTTGAGGTTTGACCTCTAACTAGAACATTCAAGGACGTCAACACTCCTTTTTCCAAGTCTTTCTTTTGTTGATTCATCTAAGCATTTCCCACATCTCAATATGTGGAGCCATTTAACCTTTAGCTATCCTGATCCAGTTTCTGTTGAAGAGAAACAACATCCTAACAATATGATGCTCAAAGTTGAGGTCTTGCATCAAACGTGTAAAAGTTATAACATGGTCTTATTAGACCTTAATACAAACATCATCCCACATGTTTTTAAAAGACTGAACATATGTTCCAATCAAAACGACACTTTTTATTGTGAGAAACATCTGTAACATATCATAAAAGTAAATCAAATCAATATTATGCTGGATATAATGACTAATGAGCATTATTATAAAAAGCGTTTTGAATGAGAAAGTAATCCAAGTAAGTGATAGCAATAAAGTAATCTCAAAATAACCTTACCCAAAGAGGAACATGACCTACAGGGAGACCAAAATTGTTGGTAAAGTTAATGCAGTTGACTCTTATATGACAGGAGTCACATGTGCCTGCCCAGTTATTCATCTCGGACGGCATCAGTGCAATACCTAGTTCAAACCGCCCCTTATTAAAAAAACATCCTCATTGCATTATTTCATCTTGCAACAGAGTTCTAAGAAACTTGGTCGTGCTATCTTTAAGAGTTTTCTAAATATAGAGCGTGCTATATTGTAATGTCTTTTTTAGATGCTAATTTTAGATATAGGCTGTTCCTCTGTATAGTTACATCAACTTTATTGGAAGGTCAACTATTTCATCAGTTTTTTGGGACCAGTTGAGTTCATCAACCACATGATAAATAGTTCTGTGAGAGGCACAATCGAAATTTGGAACACAAACTGCGCAGTTATTCACTAAATGTCCACATTCTCAAATTTATGACACTTTTAGATATTTTGGCTATTTGACAGAGAAAATGGATTCACTCAAAAACAGATTTGTCCTTCATTTCACGTGCAAGGTCATTGGTTTCAGAACAAACGATGAAAACAAGCACATTTTAGGCATCACCTGGAATCCAACAAAAAATGACTGTTTTCAAATGGGTTTCCTCAAAGTATTTTAACATTGGGAAAATTAAACTTAAGTTTATTTGTTTAAAAAAGGAAGTGCTTTTAAAACAGGAAGTATCTACAATTGCACAATGAAAGATAAGACAATCCATTCTATGATCTTCGGCTTGCTGCTGTGATGTTGTTGATCAAACACAACCTCCAGTGCTCAAGTTAGTTTAACCAGGTGTGCATCTGCACAATATAAACCTCTATTTATAGTGTGCAAACTTCACCTTTACGTTGAAAAAGACAGTTTTACTAAGAACATAGCTGCGTATTTTCTTGTTCATTATTAAAGGAATCTTGTTGTTTGTTGATTCAGTTTCCCTCTCCCTTTCCTCCTGAGGTCAACTTGGTAACCACTTCTAGCAACTGTTTTTGTCTACCACATTTAACCATGAACCTGCCAAATCACCTTTGGTTTTGTACACCTTGAATGTGAACACAAAGTACTTTATCCTTTGAAATTCAAAGCATTAGCACTTGGTGGACATGGTCCAACTTGGCAAGAATAAAGAAAGTGGGATCAAATACAACTAATTTCTTGTCAGACAGGTATGCAATTCAAGCCACTGTACATGCAACCTGTAGATTTTGTAATCTAAGTTAAAGTTATCCAACTTCAACTGGAATCCCTCGTCCTAAACAGATCAAGCACTCTCAGTTGGGAAAATCCTTTTGCTTTTGTGAAAGGCAAACAGGCTTATTGGATTATATTCAAGTAGGTCTATAAAATATAATTTCAGACAAAGCAAAGGCGGCCAATAAAGATGCCATTCTGCAAATACATTCAATCACAATGCGGAAACCTCACTGTAAAAATATAAAATGCTCAATGACCGAGTAGCACAGCAAATATAGAATTCATAGTTTATCGTGACCAATGGCATGTCCACATGAAAGACATGTTTGTGAGTTGACTTTAAACCTCATACAGAAAATGTCAAAAAATTGGTTTGGATCAAGCATTATATGGTGTGGCCTAGTGGTTAAAGATCTGGGCTGGAAACCTAGGTTGCAGGTTCAAAGCATTGACACGTGAGCTATAAACAGTTCATGATCAAGACTTAATCTCAGGTTACAGCAAAGAAATACCTGTAATTACATAAGAAAAAAAAACATTTTTGGATAATCAAGCCTATAACTCTCATTTTCAAGTTTGTAAAAATAATATTAACAAAAATAAAACCAAAACTTGTGAATAAAAATGTACTTAGAATGGAAGTCTATGTTTAATGCATTTTTATGTTGTTTTTCTGAAGTATAAATTATTAACTCAAAGAGTCACAAGTTCATATCAAAAGCCAATCAGATGTTTCTAATTGTGCACCTACTTGAATCTTTTTCATTTATTAATGTACAAGGAATGTTCCAAAAAACACTTGGGTTGAAAAACAACTGTTGAAAAGTTGAATTTTTTTTTACATGATGCAGCAGATTGTGGCATGATGCTTGAATTTTTTGGCCAAAGATGTTCATCTGAGTGTATGCCTAACTAGTCAACCTCACTAACAACTATTCAGCTGTTGTAGTCAATTAGTCGACCATTGTGAACCATCCTTATTATTTACCAAGCAAAAACTTCTACAGAAGTAACTTAACAATACAAATAGTGTGACTGCACCAAATATCAGCTAAGCATTATAGCATCTACAAAACCATACTTACTTAGCTTTGGACAAAAATCAAGTCATTTTTCATTTCAACTTACTGTTTAAACTTACTGCACAGTGCTGGACATTGGAGACGCTTATTGCTGTGAGATTAGTGATGTTTAATGACTTTATCAAATTCACAAGACACGCCACACAGCCTCTGAGCTCTATATACAAACACATAGACCATGTCTGTTGATCATTTGATTCATTAGATCATTAACGCTCATTAAATTCAAAAGTTACTTAAGGGGAAAATAAAAGCACAGACTAAATGATGACTGGGCGATATCAGTAAACCAGAGGACTTTTCACTGTTGACTTTGCAATGTCTAGTGATCCGTCATGATATGCTGACTATTTGAATTTCACTTCTAAATGCAAAGTTATAAATGAATAGTACATTCTGTTGTGTTTATATAAACACATCACTTACAAAAAAAAAAAGTCAGATTAATGACAAAATAAAAACGCATTAAACATTGTTACGCCAAATTTCATAAAACTCATAAACAAAGTGATCTTAAAGTTACCAAACCACATCTTTAAAATTTTTAGACTCTCTTAGAAAACATTATGCAAAAATCTTTTATCTAAAACTAAATTCTATTTGATCAATTGAGCTGATGATTGAATGACCATCAATTGTAAAAAAAAATTTAAATAGTGAATTAAAATTGCTAATTATCAAATAATTTGATACGTTGCATCTAAACACAATTTAGAAAAAGATTTTATTAAAAAGCATACATACATTAAACATTATGTACGTGTTTGCAAAATTTCAGTAACTAAAAAAAATTATAATTTTGAGTTAAACTAGTAATTACGAACCACATCCTTGTCATTTTTACATACTCTTATTAAATGCTATGCAAAAATGTTTTATCCAAAACAAAATTCTGTTGGATCAACTGAATTGGTGATTGAATAGCAGCCAATGATTAAAATAACAACTAGCGCTAACCATGTAAAAACAGTAAATTAGATAGCATCTGATTTGCATGTTTAAATGCATGTTTCAAAAAATGAACAGTTAAACAATGCAAAATCCAATGAAACACTAACTCACCTCAATGTGCTCACTGCAGAGAAGCTGCCGCTGACATCTTAGTGTAAAGCCAACAGCCACTGTGTACAGAACGCCAGCGAGAGAGAGAGAGAGAGAGAGAGAGAGACACACACACACAGTCAGAGAGTTGAGTGAGAGCTTATAAAGCACTGTATATCTGCAGTGTTCCCTCACACACTCAAACACCAGCACTGATGGGTGAATCGCTTCCTCCATCGGATTAGGTTTCCTTCCCTAGACCTCTGACGGCTGGCCATGTGACCGCTGCTAAGCAGCAAGTCAGCTATGACACACACACACACACTCATATCCTCACATATACAGTACACATCACACACCTCATATTCATCTGTTTTTTAAATGACTAATAAAGACATTTTAACAGTAAATGTGTCATGTGAGGAAACATTAACCATGACAAGGACACCTGTAAGACATCATTCTATCCTTGCATCACGTCATGATGGATGAAGTAAACTGCACTGACAGCATAACAACAACAAAAAAGTTTCTTAAAAACCAATTACAGGAGTTTCATTTATTTACCAATGGCTTAACAGGCTTTTTGATATACTTGTGTAACATTTGCTAAAGATGTTAAACTGTTTGTTTACTACCTTAAAACAGAGAGAGGATTTTTAAAATGTCTAATAACTAATATGTAGAACAAATTTGTATTTATTTTTCTTTTTGACACTAATGAATTATTATTACAAATGATTACATAATATTCATTAATCTTTACTTTTTTTTACATCTTCATTATACATGATGATAATGATGATGATTAATAATATAATAATGTGATAAAATAATTACAGTATTACAATAATGATTATTGCTACTAATATGATTTTAAAAAATGACGACTAGCAATGTGATAATCATTATTATTATGATATTATCAGTGTTGTTGTTATTAATATTAAAAATAATTAAGTGAAAATACAACTGTTGTTATTGTTGAAAACTTGTTTTTGACTTTCTTAGATGTCTGAAAACCAATTAAAACAGATTTCTGTTTTTGACACTAACTAAATCATTAGAATTGACATTTTTCACATTATTATTACTCACGATAGTAATAATAATAATAATAATGTGATAAATTAATTTTCATTATTATTATCATTATTATAATTGCTTTTTGATTTTCATAATGCAGTACACCCTAACAATACACCCAAAACCCCCCAAAAAAGATTAGCCTACATAAGAAAATAAGTAACTTTAGGGCTTAATATCGGTGGATACATGGGCTAATGTGCACAAAACATCTAAAACCTGAAACTCAAGCACTGTTTGAAGTTGCAAGTATTTGTTTGAACCAACAGCCAAGTGTGTGTAAAATGCACGTGTGTGTGTGTGTGTAGAAGCATGAGTATGTGTCAGTGGGAGTCACATGGTCTTGGATCAGCCTAAAAAAAGGACCAGCCGCAGAGAATTAAAACTTTAGTCTGCTTCAAAGCTTGGGGTTTTCCTCAATCCCAAAAATGCTTCAGGAACAGAGGAACTTGGACTGGTCAGTGACCTCTTTGAGTGTATGGTTTAAGGCCAAGATGTCAATGCCTGTCAGCACAATGTTATAAGTGGTACCACAGGGTTTTATGCACAAGTCCGCACAAAACCAGACTAAACGAGAATTCCTCAATGATTCCGGTGAATACCACTCCTAAAGTGTCAAGATTGTGTGATTATAAATGTTAGTTAACGTCATTAACTTGTTACTTTGCAAGTTACTTTGTTGCAAGTTACTTTGTTTCCGATGTCTTGACTGACAGCTCTAGTGTTGCCATGTTGAGAAACACATACATATGTATATAGAGAAAGAAAGAAAGAATCGAACAGCAATAGAGTAAAGATTTGTTGTGCATCAAATAACATAACTGAGAATTGTGTAGAGACTAGAGGTGGACCTATGTATCGGTTTTGCCGATTAATCTGCACCGATAGTTGATTGCTGGAACTATCGGTTATCGTCAAAAATCCATGCCGATAGTTTTCCCGGGTTGCGTCCATTGCTGGAGCGGCTGAGAAGGGTCTGCTGTCATTATACAGTGCGAGAGCAGCCTCTATTGGTTGAAATCATTGACAGCACATGCTATTTGTTTAGACACGTGATACTGCACGCTGAACAGAGCGGGAAACTTCAGACACGGATTTAAATGCAGCCGACAGAAAATCCTGCCGCGCCACAGAGAACCATTCACATAGTTTTCCTTTAAATTACATTATATTGGTCCCGAATCGTTGTTAATGTACATAATGAATTGTGTAATGTGCATTTTCAGCAAAATGTTTATCTTTCTGTGGCTCTAATAAAGTCTGTATGCTTCATTTATAGAGCTATAATATAGGTTGCGGTTTCTCTTTCCGTTTGCTCCGTTTTTTTAAACGCCGAACTTCAAACTCATCTATACCAAATTGTTCATTCTTGAAGTAAACTTGTGTCTGTTTGGTGATTAAATAAACTGTTTTAGACCGCTGCTCGAGTTGAACGCGATGCGTCCGGAGTGTGTGTGATACCGGTGAGTTCTCCTAGACTCAGCGCTGCACTTTTATTTTGATTATAGATAATCATCAAGTGTTCAAGAATAGAAGCAGTTAATGTGTGAGAGTATACATACAATATCCATATGTATATAATTTTAATGCTATAGCCTTTGTGTATATATTTAAAGATGTGCATCTTTAAGCATGACAGTTGAAATTAAATGGTAACACTTTAAAATAAGAGTC